TTTTTTTTTATAGTGATTTTAATCACTGTCAGATATCATTATACTTGATCCAACTATGCCACGTCACTACTGTGCCGCGACCCCCCTGTGCTGGGTTTTTTTTAATTTATATTCCCTTAGAGGAACTACCAAGGGTCGCACTACAATATATATATATATAACACTTTAGGTTAACAACGATATAAATATACCTAGGACGTAAAACTCCTAAATACTTTTTTAATTTATACCTTAATGTTTAAAACCAAAAAAAAGTTGTTTGTGATTTACATCTTCTGTATTATCCAAGCATTACAATTACCTAAAATTATATTAACTTTTTCTCATTCAAATTTTTTTTCAATAAGTAATAATTATTTAGTATTTTACTTGAATTAATATTAATCAACAAATTAAATAAGGACATTCATAGGAGAAAATATAAAAATTATTATTAACTAATAGATAGTAATAATTTCTATATCGGAGCATAATATCTAAACTCATTAAAATGAAAAAGAAAATTTTTGATGTTTGTGATTTACATCTTCGCAGTTATCCAAGCATTACAATTAACTCTTTCCCATTAAAAATTTATTTTTCAGTAAGTAATTAATTATTTAGTATTTTACTTGAATTAATATTAACCTTAAAATCAATATAAACATTCATACGTCAAAATATGAAAATTATTACTAACTACTAAATAGTATAATATCTAAACACAGTAAAATGAAAAAGAAACATGGCATTTTAAACCAATATTACCAAACTAACTCCTTCAGTGTCAGTCAGATGCATACATTATGATTTAAATATAATCATTGACATTAAATATACCAGTCACTTTTAATAGGTATTCATTTTATTATTCGACTCGACGATTAAAGCTGCAAATATTTATATAAATATTGTGACGTTCACCGGTTTCTGACCGTAAGGCTTTTATTGTGAAATAATTTTGTTAATATAAAAGACTTATTGTGCCAGGACTAGCCGTGCGCTTCTATCAGAATCTGTGATCAACCCATAAGGACAGGCCAAAGAACCCCCCCCCCTGCAATCTAGGTGGAACATAAAGCTGGACCCCCATTACTAATCTATTTGCCAAATATAGGGCGAATACTAAATATTTGTCTAGTCGTACAAGTACACAAATTTTAACGTCCCGATTACTCGTCTATTTGTAAAATTATTTTGTATTTTCCATGTTTTTATTGATATTGAATACTCGATACAAAAAAACTTGTAACGTGACAAAATGTGAATTTTATGGTATAGATAAATTTACTGTTTTGGTTTGCTAATAGGCGCGCGTACGTTATATCCGGCCGTGTAATCAGAAAACTGTACTGTTGCTGTCAAGGTGAACGCTATACACACAATGTTCTTTATCAATTTAATAATCGTTCCCTATATGACACATACACTGGCCACTACTGTCAATACCTGTATAATTTTAATATTGTTCATATTTTTATCTTTTTTATATTTTGTGAATTGTTAAGCCGATACCCTCTCCCAAACGTGATCGTTGTCGTCGGTGTGTCTCGCCCGGTGTGTAACAACAAAATTGACGCTTTCTTCCCTTTTTAGTCGTGGTATTTTGGCTGTGTGCGTACAGCCAACATTATTTTGTTTTTTTCCGCGTGTGACATTGTTTTTTAATTATGTATTAACTTTTGTAAGGCGTCGGCCATTTTCCGGGGCCGAGATCCCCATCTTCGGATGAGTCCCATCCGGGACTGGGTATCGTAAATATTTTTTTTCGTAGTACATTAATGTTTTGAGCCTTTTTATGTTAAAATTTATTACTTATATTATACATGTATTTTTTTTTCTCTGCTCATTATTTACTATGAGCTAGTATTGATATTTATAAGGTTATTGGTCAGTGGTGTGTCATGTATACTTAAGACATATATATATATATATTATTCCCGCAGTTCCCAAGTACGGTCCGGCCGGCCAGATTACAAAAATCGACAAAAGAAGACACTTCACGTGTACTGTCTAAAAGTTGTAGGTTAAATTTGTTTTTCTCTCAATAATTGTTTTTTTTTCTCTTGTCCCTTCATTTTCAGAGTGGTTTTTACCTTCGGGTTTTGTCCATTATTAACTTAACTGTAATAATTTAATAAAGTCCCCTTAATTTTCTTAATCAACAAAAATCTTTTTATTGCGTGAATATCTTCAATATTCACGTGTATCTTATTTTTTCACCTTTAATAATTCTCCCTAGTTTTAAGGTAACGGTCTTCGACATATTATAGTCTACAACAACACTTAATATTTTAGTATATTGACACGACTTACGTCGCAAAAATGTGGTCGACACTGGTTTTGAGGGTAGAGACCCGTGGGCCGTTTATTAAATGAGCGACAACAGATTATTTTAACAAAAATAAAACAAACCGAAAAGATAAACACAGTAATAATAATCTTCGCATAATATCGCGGCACTTTCGCTGGCGTCGACGACGCGATGTTCGGCGTAATCCTTGGACGGCAAAATGGTTAGCAGCGTTGTAGGCGACGGTGCGCGGGTGCGGTTCGGCTGTCGACGTAGTCGCTTTCACAACGGGAGGAAGACTCTCGCACCATTTGCGGCGGGTCGTCGTCGGCCGTGCGGCATTTGCTGGACTTTGCACCGTAGCGTATAACACGCGGTGTTGGTCAGTCAAATACTCATAGTAGGGCGACGGCTGATAAAGGTGGCACGAGTCGCGGGGCATCGTGTATAACGAAGCGACGCGGGCCGTGTCAATATATATATATACTATATATACAGAGTGATTCGTTATGAATAAGACCCTCATTTACTCAGTAACTATTGAAAATTTTTAATTTTTGGTAAGGAAAATATTGTTTGATTCAAAAAATACTACAATATTATATAGTAAAACATGATATTTTTCATCCCTTCAAAGTTAAAAAACATTAACTTGATTTTTTTAAATGGGAACACATATTTTGAATTTAATAAAATGTTTGAGTTTTTAATTTAATAGCAAATGGCATTTGAATTTTTAGTATAACTATATTTGTTTATTAGATATAAACACTCAAAGTTTCAAATTTTTGAGTTAATATACATGTATAATACACTAGGGATTAAAAATACAGGTAGCCAATTGGTTTTTTATGAAATCGATATTAGCAGGTACACAGCATTGTTATTATCAATGGTAGTAAAGCACATTGTTGTGAGTTTATAAATACACTAACTGACAATACAGAAAGTATATCTATTGATAGTTATAATTGATAATGAAAAATCCGTGACTGTGACAGCAATTTCATAAAATACCAATTAGCTACCTGTATTTGTAATCCTTGTATATTATATCAAAAATTTGAAACTTTAAATGTTTATATCTAATAAACGAATGAAGTTATATTAAAAATTCAAATGCCATTTGCTATTAAATTAAAAACTCAAACATTTTATTAAATTCAAAATATGTGTTCTCATTTAAAAAAACTTAAGTTAATGTTTTTTAACCTTAAAGAGATGAAAAAATCATGTTTTTACTATTTTTTTAACATTTTTCTTCAAAATTACTTAAAAATAATGGCACAATGCATCTTCTTCGTATATGACTTATTACTTTAGAAAACAATCACAAAAAAAGTTGTTGGAACATCTTTTTTTATAATAATGTATTGAATTAATTAAGCTTTCATTTAATTAATTTTTTAATAATTGTAACAAATATGAATAATTTATTTTTATTGACTTAATGAAAATAATTAAACATTAATAAAGTAATACAACTGAAAAGTAGCACAGAAAATATTAGTGATAGGAAATATCGAATAGTAACTATCGAATTGTTCGACAGTCATTTAAAAAACCATTCGATAGTTATATTCGAATGTTACTCAAACTATTCGATAACTTTTTAAATATTTTATAGTTTATGCTAAAAATAAACTATTCGGTTGAATAAAAACAATTTAAATAGTTATTTGACAGTTTTTAAAAAACTATCGAATACTATTCGATTGTTTCAAACATTCGAAAATGTCGGTCACTAAAAAATATATTCAGAAATATAAAATTATATAAATACAAATAATATAGACTCATACATTTACTAAAAAAAGTCTTGGCGTTACCTTAAATATTAAATTTAGAATTTTTTAAAAAAGTTTGGTCCATCTAGATTAATTTATTTGTTGTGTCAAAAGACAATAAATTATAGAATAAATATTATAGCAATTTTTTTGTCTTAGTAACGAAGCACTTTTTTAGTATATTTTTTACGTATTTTCATTTATGTTCTTTACAAATCAGTTAATATTGTTTTGGAAAATATTTAAGAGTATTAATTATTAGTATACGCAAAAAAAGTTCTATATAACAAAATATGAATGATTCTCTCAATAAAAGCTCTGAATTAAACTCATCTAAGTTCATCAAATCAATCGATATTGCACCTTTCTCACTAGTTAAATCACAAGTTATAGAAAATAATTCTTCAAATTTGAATGAAAAAAGTGGAATTCATAAAAAACTTGATATGGGCATTGAATATGCTATAAGTCTATTGAAAAAAGATGACGAATATACCGATGTGTAATAAATACATATTAATACAAAGACACTTGTGTTAAACTTTTACTAAAATATTTCACATACGAAAAAAATGTATAGTAGAACCAACAAAATTATAGTTAATTTAGCTACAAAATAATTATCTAGATCAGGGGTCTCCAACCTTTTTTTTGCAGCGGGCCTCATATTATTTTTTAATAATCTTGTGGGCCTCAATTGTAGTAACATGTATTTTATACATGAATTCAGTTTTATTATTAACATTTTTATGATTACAATTTAAATTAATATTAATATTAAAACATAAATAGATAAACATTTTTTTTAATTACAAATTTTTTATTTTATTTTTAGTGTGATAACTGACATTGTTTTTCACTAACTAATTTGTTTATATTTGGTTGGATCTGAGACGATGCAATTCTGAGTGAATTTTCCAAGTGAATGTCAGTTAATCGAACTTTAGATTTCACAATTTTCATTCGTGAAAAAATATGTTCACAAGTATATGTATTGCCAAAAAGAGACATCATTCTTAATGCGTTGTTTCGAAGATTAGGATATGTCTCTACGTCAATATATTTCGAATAAAAAATTGAAAGTTCAACATTATTGTACTTTTCTTTTAATATTTTATTGTTTTGAAAATCAATGATTTCCACTTGCGTATTTTCTGGGACATCTTCAACTGATAATGAAAATGGAATTGAAAACAAATTAAAAATTTTTTCATTAGCTTTGAAATCTAAGCACCTCGAATCAAACTGTAGTTTTAAATTAGAAATTGCTTCTGCGTATTTTTTTGTTGAAGTATCATTGTATTTTGACAAACATGGAAAGTGAGTTGTGTTATTTTTTTTTAGCTGGATTTCCCACAGCAGAAGTTTATTTTCGAAAGATTTAATATGATCGAATAAATTATAAATTAATTGGTTTTGACGTTGCAATCGTAAATTTAACTCATTCAAGTGCAATGTAATATCCGTGAGATAGGCAAAATCATTTTTCCATTCTGAATCATTGAGTTGTTCAAATATTTTTCCTTTACTTGCAGCAAATTCAAAAATTTCTTTTCTTAAATCAAAAACCCTTCTCAAGACTTTCCCTCTACTGAGCCAACGAACATCTATAAAATAGATTACATCACCTTGTTCAGCGTCTATTTCACTTAGAAAGTTTTAAAATTCTCTATGATTCAATGCTCTTGATCTGACAAAATTTACTATTTTTACAACATCTTTCATAATAGTTTGAAAAACCACAGATTTCACACATAAATTTTCTTGGTGAATAATGCAGTGATATTGTATCAGTTGTAATGCACCACATGCCCCCATTTCTTTTTTAATGAGTGCTATGAGCCCTTAATTTTTTCCAACTATTTATGGGGCTCTATCTGTTATAACTCCAGAAAGGTTATTTAATTTGATATCAAAACGGTTAAATGTCGATTTTAATGCATTAAATATATCACAACTTTTTGTTGTGCCTTTTATTGGAAAAAGTGCGGCTAATTCTTCAGTAATATTAAAATTAGAATCGACACCCCGAACAAAAATTGCTAATTGAGCTGTATCTGACAAATCTGTACTTTCGTCAAGGGCCAGAGAATAAAAAATAAATTTAGAAATTCGTTCTTTTAGGGTACTCTCAATATTAGTTCCTAGTTCTTCTATACGCCTTGCTATAGTTACACCTGATTAACTCAATTTGGAAAAAAGTTGTTTTTGCGCTGGACATAAAATTTTAGAGGCCGCNATGGACATAAAATTTTAGAAGCCGCTTCCATGCACTCTTTTATAAATTCACCATCAGTGAACGGTTTCGATTTAGCGGCAATTTTTTGTGCTATTATATAACTAGCTTTGACACTGGCTTCTGAGTCTTTATGACCTGTTTTTAAACTTAAAGACTGACCTTGTATATTTTTCATTAACAATGCAAGTTTGTCAATTCGAAGTTGTCCTTCTATCATATCATATTTTACTGCATGTATGGCACTATAATGTCGTTTTAAATTGTACCCTTTCATCACTGCAATCGATTCTTGACAAATCAAACATATTGCCTTTTCTATAACTTGAATAAAAAAATAGTTATGGGACCATTTTTCTTGAAAAACACGACTTTCATCCGAGATTGTACGTTTTTTACTGACCGACATATTATACAAATATACGAGTATTATGCTCATTCCATATCGATTACGAACTAACAGGCAGCAGCCAACATTTATCTCTAGGTAGGTAATTTAATTTATCTTATCGCATATTTCCGGTAGCGATGGCTAAGCAGTTATAATTTTATAGAAATACGAAATATACATGCTTAATTTTAAATTTGATCGCGGGCCGCATACAATGACGGGGCGGGCCGCGGGTTGAAGACCCCTGATCTAGATGGATAAACTATCTTATGTAGTTGAACTACCTATAAAAAATATTTCACTAAATGTATTAAGTCATTCAACTAATATTATAGTTAGACTAACTATAATACTACAAAATATTTTGTTTCATGTTCTTGCAATATTAAATATTTTACAAAATCTATTATTAATTCTAAAAATCACAAGTTTCAAAACATTAGGTACTAAAATAGATTAAATAATTAAGATTTAAACCAAAATACAAGAAAAGTGCTTACCTTATTGAAAAAATAATATTTGATGTTAATTTTTATTTCAATAAAAAGTTCATTTTTCATAGGTATAGTCATTTTGAAGAAGTTTTGAACAAAATATTACAAGATATGCCTTCAAATCCTGTGGAACAATTTGAAAACTACAGCAAAATGGTGAAACAGACATATATTAATTTAGATACTAGATTTGAACGAGTTTACGTAGACAACATAAACGCTGCAGACTGTCAAAAAAATTTGGAAATATATAAAGTAGGTGCGATTACTACTTATTTAACCCTAACTTTTATTTATACAATTAATAAAATGAGTTGTACATAGTGTGCCCTGAAGAAACAAATGAAAAAACAACAAAATTACTTTCAGAGTAAAATGAACAAAGAAGTCAAATGTCCAAAAAATACAGTGGATGTTTTAGAAAACACTTCTTCATTCGAAGATAAATACGTACAGAATCTTTGGGAAGCTAATTACATGTTCAGAAAAGCTGGATATGGACTGTCTAATAATGAAGTGTCTCTAATAGCCATATTATTGAACCAAATGTCTGAAATGAACAAATTTCGTAGTCTCAGGTAACTAACAGTTAAACTAGGAAAATAATTGTGTGAAGTAGAAAGGTGTATTATAGTTCTGATCCATTAAACGATTGTAATTTAAAATTTATAAATTTGTTAAAACAAAAATATTGGATACAATTTAATAAATTATTAAATCATATCGATGAATAAAATATGAAGTATAATCATCTTTTAACTTTGCATACATTTATATATAGATTATGCAATATATTGCATTAAAATTGAGAAATAGTTTTATTCAGATATTGGGGCAAGATTTTCGGTATACAGAAGAACTATTATATTATCGAGTGTGAATGGTCAGATATTGAATTACAACGTAGATTATCGGTAATAAAATTACTACATCATACTATACAAGGTGTTCAAAAAATAAGTAACAGGTTATTTTTTAAGGAATCTTTTAGAAACCTTTTCCTTATTTACTGAATACTGTACAGAGTATTCAGTACGTATGGAAATATATCAATTGTTACAAACAATCAGAACAATAGAAACCAATTTCCTTACTTACTGAACACCTATATATTTTTTTTAACTGTGGTTTACTGTTAATTATCTAATATAATTTACAGAAAGAAAATTTATCCATAGAAGAAGAATTTACTAAGTCCAATAATAACTATCAATTNTGAACACCTATATATTTTTTTTAACTGTGGTTTGCTGTTAATTATCTAATATAATTTACAGAAAGAAAATTTATCCATAGAAGAAGAATTTACTAAGTCCAATAATAACTATCAATTTGGTGACAATTTAAATGTTGGTAAGTATCCTTTAAGTATATCCAATTTTAACGACACGAAAATCAATGATCAAGAAAAATTAAATTCAAATAACACTCAAAATCAAAATAATATTCAAAGTAATTTCATCAACTCAGACATTACAATAAAGGACGTACTAAGCACAAATACTTTATGTGGTGATAAAAATGTTATACCACCAGAAATTTCGGGATTTGGCAACAATAAAAATGTAAGAATAAAACACAAACTTAAGTTATCATTTAGCTTTAGATATATTCTTGAAATGTTATATTCATTTATCAGGTATATTTCGTGACTAATGATCTAAACGAAAAATGGATCGAATTACCATCTGTTAAATCCAATCATATCATCGAAGCAAAAATGATTAAATATTTCTTTACTGGAAATCTAAACGCCAAAGTATTATAGTTATTAAGACATTTACAGTATAATACCTGTAATAGATGGAATGTAATTTTAGATGGACACACGACCTATTTTCAATGGGTATGAAATACACTATTTAAGAGCACAGATAGCTAGAATTTCAGCGAGTACGCATATATGTCCTAGTGGTTATTATGAAATCAGTTTGGATGAAGGAAATAATTTCCAGATTCCTTTTTCAATAGTGAAGTCTATTCCACAGCTGTCTAAAAAATGTAAGTTCATTTTTTTTTAAACGTTATTTGTTAAAACAAGCATGATATAGTGAAGAATATTTGAAATACTCTTCTGTATAATAAACGTCGAAATCAAATAAATATGCTCAAAATAGACAGACTTAATTTTAATGCGAATCGCTTGATTTTGTATTATCGTTTTTACTATTGTTTAAAGTAAATTATCGTTGTATCATTAAGTATTTCTTTAAATGGATCGATTTATAAAATTTTTTCATTTTTCTACCTCACTCATCGAATGTTTTTGTAAAAACATTTGATGTAAAAAATATTTTACATAAAAAACTAGCAAGTCAATTATCTTGAAGTTGACTATATCTATAGTACACGTTTTTTTACACCCTATTTACTATGTAAAAAAACAAAATAAAAACTATAATTTACTTGAATTTTTAGTTATAACTAATTGTGTCAAGAACAAGAATTTTGAACCCATCTCCAATTTAAAATTACTTCAACCAGAAAATTGGGTTCACTATAAATCTAAAATTGGAAAAAACGGTTTCACAAAACAGTGGACCCATTGGTTAATGTCAAAATCATTTATATCTGAGAATAATAGCAACTCCAAAAAAGAGAATAACGATAATGTACAAACTGAGGAAAATATTAGTGATTACGATGAAGACTATTCAGATTCTGAATCTGATTTATTTGAAAATTTATCTAAAGATATGACAGAAAATAAGAAGGCTTGGAAAGGAGAACAATGTTCCCCTTATTTGCCAAATGATTCTTATATTGCCATGAAATCGAATATATGGCCAGGAGCTTTTGCAGTAGCGTATAAACAGTAAGTACATAAATATATAACAATTTTCAAGGAATAGAAATTAAAATCATAATTAATGTATAAATAAAATCATATACAGAGTGTTCAGTAAGTCAGGAAACGGGTTTCTATTGTTCTCATTGTTTGTAACAATGAGAACAATAGAAACCTGTTTTCTGACTTACTGAACACCCTGTATAATTATTTATCGAAATGATTAAATGCTGTTAAGCGAAATTCGGATTCAAATAGATTTCTTCACACAGCAGTCTTATAATTTTAATATGAATAAACTGTTTTGTAATTTTAGTCAAACAGAATTGTTGTATGTGGGATGGGGTCAAAAATTTGACATAGAATGTTATACACCTTTAATTGAACCTTGTGGTTCAGAATTTTTGGATGAAAACAATTTAATTGAAATTCAAGATCCGACATATTACCAAGAACAGGAATACTATACTTATCAAGAAAAATTGGCTGCTTGTAATTTATTGTTAGAACAGTCCAGTGGAGATGTTTATGAAGAAGATGAAAGAATTTTAAAAAACTATAATTACGACTAATACAAATAAAAATTTTATATTACGTGTTGTTGATAATTACTAATTATATAACTATAATTATATAAGATAAGATTACTCATGTATTAATAAATTGTCATATTTGAAATACAAATACAATACCTCTATAATGTAATTTATTTAATAGTTTTTATTTAATAAATGAGAATATTGATACATACATGTATATATATATATATATGAGAATATAAGTAATTTTTTAAAGGAAATTTTAACCATTTAAAATGAATATGAAATGCGAGTGAGTTACTCAACTGATAGAAAATGAATAACAACATAATTCCTGACACATATAAATTAATTTATATTTTTTTAACTATCTATATACAGGCTGTCTCAGACCTAAATTACTGTTCTAAAAAATTTTGATATAACTATTATTTCACTTTAATTATTTCTTATTTTCATACATTTTTTTTTTCAAAATTACGTTTTATTTCGTTTATAATTTCTTCATCTCGTTTTTCTACATATATACTAACAGTGACCTAAAAAAATTACATTAAAACTGATTTGTACTTTTACAAAATAGCACTACTAAAAAACTCAAAGCAATAATTGTTAAACTTGATATATTAAACTAACTTTATTGTAAAGGAAAATAGTACAGGAATTTTTTAATATTTTGTTCGTTACAATTATTGTTAATTCTATCATATGGAAAAAACAATTGTATGAAAATGAGGGTAAATAAATGATTTTAGTTTAAAATGAATATCGTGCAACCATTTATAAAAAATAAATAAGGCTCTAATTTAGGTTTTTATTTAAAAACGCAGAGCTAAAATATAATCAGATAATTCATACGAAATATTATTAAACTTTTAATTCATTTACAAAACTATTTGTTAAAAAGGTTAAATTTTGACTTGAAACCTATATTGTCGTTATCGTTATTTGTGATTAACATTTAAAATAAAAATGGAAGTACATCAGAATCTAATAAGTTGTTATCATCACTGGATTCATAGGGTTTCAATATTGACACAAAGAGAAAAAACAAAAAACAGAAAAAATAAAATTTTCATAACCATCAATTTTTATTGCAATAAATTTAAGAAAGTGTTTAAACAGTGGTTATTTAAAAATAATTTCAAGGACTAAACTTATATACTAATAATTTATAACTTCTATTTTAATAAATGTTTTTATGGATTCATAAATCTTACATTAATAAAACCGTAATAAAAATATGTTATATTTTATTTGCGAATCTAAAGTTATTGATTTAACAATCACGTTTTGCAGAAACGTGATTACTATAAATATTATGTACAATTTTCTTGAAATAATAAGTAAAATAATAGTTACAAAAATATATGTATTAGTTTTTTTTTTGTTACCAATGAGTCATTAATGACTTTTATACTTAAGACGTATTAAGAGAGAGGCCTAAAGGGGTATGTGGGCTTAGCGTTATAATTGTCAGAGTATACTTTCATAATTTAAGAGTAACGAAAAATTCGTTAATTTTATCCATAAGTCGCTTTTTATTAGAAATATGCCAAGGGAATTTTATTCAAGAGAATTACATATGTTAAATTGTGGTAAAATACTTCAATCTCGTGAGCTTATTAAATTAATTTTAAACTAGTTTATGACAATCAATATTAATTAAAGTAAAATTATTTTAATATCACGATTTTAACTTGATAAAATAAGTATAATAACAACAGTAAAACAGTAATGAATAATAAAATAACCGTAATCGGACTAATGTAACAAATAAATAAATTCTATCAAATTTAAATTCACAAAAAATAAAAATTTAGATGTAAAAATGAATTAATATAATAATTAATTTAATCGAGTTTTCATTGATTTATTTTTTAGTTTCAACGAGAAGCTGAGAAGGTATTAATTTTACTACGATATGTCTATTTTTTTTGTGTCTATCACTACTTTTTCTGAGTTTCACTGGACTGATTTTTCTCAATGATACGTTAAGGATTACAAATCGTATCTAGTTGAAAACATTACCCTCAATTATTTAAAATTTTCCTCTCGTTCCCCGTAAATGGAGGAAATCATTTAACATATTGTCGTAATATACTCAATGCTTTGCATTACGCATCTTACGATTATCAATGAAAAATGTATAATTTGTATTTTAAATAACTTGTACACAAACAAATAATTTATCTGTCATAACAAATACGATGCTCAACACAATTTCTTATTATTTATATATATGTCAATTCATCAATTGTTAAATGTGTTATCTCAATATAATAATCATGTATTGTATAATTAAATACAATAAACTAAAAAGATCGCTAAAAGCGCTGACAACAATATCCCTGGATTGGGGGTACTGTCATTTTACTATAAAAAAGCACTGAAATCCTTTCTGACTCCGGAGAGACTCGAGGGAGTGACAGCGAGCGAGAGAGTTCGTTTTCTCCGAATTGAAATAAGAATAAAAAGAAACAATTATCAGTCACAGCCCTGTGTTGTTGTCGGCTGATTTTTATGCGTTTTATTTATATATGAAAAGAACTTGTTTTAACTATTTATCTTTTGAAGAAGTGCGAATTAAATACTTTTAAACATATATAAACATATCGAGATATTTATCAAATCATTTTACAAGCAATTTGCAAGAATAAAAGAAGTAAGTAATTTTATGTTATCCCAATTGTTTGGAGTTAATAAGTTTGAGTAAAGGATGACAAAGCAATAGATCATTTATTAAATTAATATCTTAAAGTGTCAATTTTGACTGGTTGGTTAAAGAAGTTATACATAATCACGTTATATGGTATTCGTGGACTGGCTCTGCCGTCTCGTTGCCTCTTAGTTAGGACATGAGAAACTAACCAGCCAAAAGTTTATTACACCTCGAACAGAGGTACTGCGTTTATTATTTTTATATCTACTTGTCTTTGTCGTTCTAAACCCTCGAACCATACGACCCCGATAGAACCACAACATCAGGTTCTCACTATATACAAAAACCCAAGTCCCCATCATTATTTTTATTATTATCATTTATTTTTATTTTATTAATTTTTGTTATTTGAATTATAACAATATTACGACTTTTAAAATCGGTAAGTTTTTTTACTTAAAACTGCCATAACTTTTTGAAAAATTAATGAATAGTTTTTTTTTTCATAGATACATTAGGTACTTTCCTTTTATTGATTATGTATATTTTTTAAGTTTGACCATTAACCTACCCACAAAGGGGATTCAAATAGCAACTTCTGCACAAAAATGTTACTTTTTCAACTTAAGTTTTAATGTACCGGAAATCTACATATTTAAGTATATAAATAAATTAAAGCTTGTGTTATGTACTAAGAAAAAAATTTGTCTTAATTACCTATCTTCTATGTACAAATGGCTGCCGTCGTTAAAAGCAATATGTTATTTATGTGTTTAAATTTTTTTTATTTTTTTACATTTTTCAAAGTATACCTATAAAAAAGATTAGTGTTCCTCTTTAAAAAAAAAAATCAATATGAAATTGTCTTTTTAATTTCAATTTCAATTTTACACCATTATTACCTTTTAAAAAATGTACAAATAGGCAATTTTTTTATATTAAAATACCTTACAAGAGTTTGCCATAGTAATCAGTTCACCAATTTTCATAAAAGTTACATGAATCTACCCTGAATTAAATATAAATTTAAACTTATTTTCGAATACTTTTCCTCTCCTAAGTTAAGAAAGACATATTGTTGAACCATCTTTAAAAATAGTTGATTAAATTTATTTATAAATGTCAACTAGATTTTATAGTTGAGCTAACTGTAAGAATAACTATATAATTCCTTTGTTGATTTTTTATTCATAATTATTAAATATTTGAAAGTCACAAAATTTCAAACAATTTTAGATTCGAAGCTGAGAAAGTATTAATTTTACCATGATGTGTCTTTTTTTTTTTTGTGTGTCAGTTTTCACTTTTTCTCAGCTCTTACTGAAACAATTTTTCTCAACGGTACGCTAAAAGATCACAAATCGTATCTAGTTGAAGACATTACCCTTAAAAATTGAAAAAATATCAGTGAGAGCTGAGAAAAAGTGGCAACAGACACAAAAAAAAACACATCATGGTAAAATTAATACCTTCTCAGCTTGCCATCGAAGCTAAAAAACAAATCGAAATATAGATATTCTTCTTAGTGAAAATTGCTACCGTATTCAAAAATATGCTATTTTTGTGTTAAAATTCTGTGTTTTGTATTTTATTTTAAAATATCTTACAAGGATAATAAACTGACTTTCATGAATGTTATTGTATAATAATATTTATAAAATTACAATTAATTTATGATTCACATACAATTGTTTCTAAGTAAACTAATAAATTGTATAAAACTTTTGATAATTGGAAGTATGAATAATACCTTATCATACTATATTGATGTATCTATCTATAGCATCTAAAATAAATAGTTAAAAAATAATATTAAGTGAATACTTATTCAAAAATGATTAAATGTTTATATTATCTTTATATTATATTAGAATTTGAAGATTTATAGAGTTTGAATGGAACACTTTCAGGATCTAAAAAAACACTTACATATTATAGTGGTAATATTTTAGTAATATCAATTATAGTAAAATATTAATATTTCTGTATGCTAAAATCTTGTAAGATCTTGGTATATTGCTTAAGTGCAAGAAAGTGTAAGAAATAAAACTATCTCACAAAGTTAGGTAGTAAACTTACCACTAGGACTATCATCCATTGCTATACTCGTTTGGTCCTTCTATTTTGATGGGTGTAGTGTCTAAAGATGTAAATATTTCTTTTTTTTTATAAATAGAAGCTCTAGAATAATCACATGAAACAAAACATAAATATAAATCAACTTAAATTTTAAAAAATTATCTTAAAATTGTAGTAATACAAAAAAAATATGGTTTAAAAGCGCTTACAACCATGCGATTAGGTGATATCGGGGTATTAGAATCCAAGGGTTTAGAACAATAATTACAAGTAAATATAAAAAGAAATGGTTAAAATTTCTCTATAGATGTATTATAAATGACCTAACGGTAAGTACCTAAAATAATACACTGAGACAACGAAGAGGCGGTGGCCATTTCACGAGTATCATGTAATGTGATTATGTATAAGATGCGAACTAGTCAGTGATGGTTAATGAAAGTTTAAAAATGAACATAAATACATGATCTATTGCTTTATCATTCTTTACTCAGATTATCAATTCTAAATAATTGGGCTAATATAAATTTACTTACTTCTTTCAGATAGTTTTCGTGAGGATTTGCAATACTTCTTTTAAATAGATAAATAAAGTTTTGACGCAAGAATGAGTTGATACAATATCGACTTAAAATGTCCCAATGACACGGGGACTTGGCTAGTTTGATGAGTATAGATTAGACAAAAGAATTCTGAATTCTATAAGATTCAGAGCTTCAAAAGTGGAGAAGAGCCGCTCGCTAGCATGCTCGCTCACTGATGTACAAGTAGAACTAAGCCTTTTCATATTATTTTTTATTACCCTCATCATGGGTTGTTGTCGTCAGTGCTTTTAACGATTTTCTGTTTATTGTATTAAATTGAACATAACTTGATAATTATTTTTAAGATAAGATGCATAGTATACAATAATCAATTTAACATGTTTATACATACATAATAACTAGTGTACAACAGTGTATATGTTATGACAGATAAATTAATTATTTGTTTACTAGTAATATAAAATACAGATTATACATTTTTCATTGATAAATGTAAGATGCGCAATGCAAAGCATTAGGCATATTACGACAAAACTTAGCAAAATAGTGAGATACTACCGTGATGGAGTTTGTGTATTGTAACCTGTATTGTATTATTACTTTTTGAGTTTATATAATTTTTAGTTATAAATGAGCAGGTTGCGCATCGTGAAAAAATGTTTATTTATGCGTCATGATAAAACTAGAGAGTCGCTAAACAGTACCCTACTCATCATCTTTACTAAATCTTTCAATACTAATATCTCAAAAATTACAAACAATGTAATTTTGACACTACTTTTTTAATTTATTATCAAAAATTCGTACAAAAATATAATAATAAAATATTATCGACAACTATTAACTACCACATATGGCACGCCAGTTTTATTTAAATAAAAACAAAAGTTTTAAATTACAAATTATTTGTATTATAAACTTCTTCATTATTTATAATTACTGATAATAAAACGTTTGTTGCTCAAAAATATATGAATAGCATAAAAGACTATAATGTTTTACAAATAAAATTTTCAAAATAGATTTTTGAATTTGATTAGAGTGGATGTTGTATTTTTTTTAATATACACGTAACACGATGTAAATATATTTATACATTATATATATAATAATATTATACATTTTTAATACAACAAGCGGTCTAAAAGTTTTTTTATAACAATTCTTTTAAATATGCATTCTAATATTTTCTTAATTTTAATGTTAAGTTGTTTTATGTCTACACTAGCTTTAAACATAATAGCTAAATTGTTCGATAAATTAAAAGGTACACAGCAAACTCTTGAAGATGAATACATAGAATTAACAGGTGATTTAAGCAATAATATTACCAACGAAGATTTGAAAATATACTTTAATTTGAAAAATCAAGGTTGGTCAATACTTAATGATTATGATATTCAATTATTGAAGGAATATTTCAAATATGGTAATGAACATTACTTAAGAATTATTATGGTCAGATTTAGTAAAAATATTATATTAAGTTAAAATATAAATATTAAGCCAGGTTTATTACATTGGGAAACATAAGCAAATTGTTTAAATATGTCTAATTGATTTCTAGATGGACGGGAAATCAATACCATGCTTGTATGTATGGTTTGGGGTTAAAAACTCCTAGGAAAAAAATTATAACGTTTTATGTTAAATTTGGAAGGCACAGTATTTCTTAGGCATAACCCTTTAGAAAAAATTCTGAATTTTACCCTAAACCTATTTAATATTAAATGCATCCTAAGTTTTTAAATTATTGTTTTTATGTTCGATAAATAAATTATTTGTGTAATGTAAAAACATCTTACGACTTGGTTGTCAGTCAATACATGTGTCACACGTACGACCTCTCAGTACAGCAAATTTTTAAATATTTTTACTCGTTTAAATAACTTTATTAAAAAATGTAAGATTATAAACAAAAGGTTATGCAACAACTTTTAAACATTTTCATTATTCGCAGGACAAAATACTTTGATCCGTCCCGGTTAGTTTTACATGGTTTTTGACGAAAATTTAAATTTTAGTACCAGGAAGACAGAAATGTCATTATTATTATTATTATTCTAATCATTTTAGTGAATAACAATAGTGGTCACTTGAAAATCGGTACTAATGAAACGCTATTTCTATAAATTACAAAACGCGGCGGTACATAAAAATCAGTTGTATTTTAAATTTTTTATAGTGATAGTGTACGATATGTTGCGTACTGGAGTACAGATATTGCAATAACGTTAGACATAATAACACAATACACTGACATTAATGCGATGTCGCTCATCGAAGCCGATTTTCCATTGAACAATAGACTACACAAATTATATGATAATAATACGACCATACCAGCAACCTTTTCAAGACACCGAGGTATATGATTGCATACATAAGTCCTAATTAAATTCTGATTCCAAGTTTTTATATATGTAACTTAACACCAATACTGGTCTATAAAATAAAAAAATATAAAAAATCATTGTGCGATACTCAAAGATTTGCTGATACGAAATTTTAATCTTACAAATGATTATTTTACAGCGATTCAAAAGTGATTTTTTACTTATATATTTGATTATTATCAAAATATATGTTACAAAAGAACATTAGTTAAGGTGATAGGCATTAATCCTTTCATAATAATTACCCGTATAAGATACAATTGGAGGAAGTAGGTCCCGATACACTTTATTTAGGTAGGTACATAGCGCAATTTGCGGCTAAATAAACACAAACTGTTAATTGCTATGAATTTAGAATAATTAACTTATATAGTAATAATACTATCTAATGATTTTCGTAAATTTTGTCTATAGATAATAAAGTTGAGAAATGATGTAATGTTTTTAGATGAAAAGTCATTAGACTTCGATTTTTTTTCCACTATTGTGAAACTTAAAAAAAGGACTTACGAAGACTCCGAAAAGTTAATAGAAAATATATATAATGAAAATAACGGCCGTATTAATAAATATCAGTCAAGTATTATTCATGCATTACTAGGCCTGACTGTTCATCCATCAACAATTGATCGTATATTTGAATTGTCTAATGTAGACGAAAACGGTTATATCACTAAAGATGGTAAGATTATTGTTAAATTATTTTATTGTTTAAACGTAGTAACTGCAAAGATAATTTTTTTTTTTTTTATTAGCTTTCAATACAAAGTATTATTATAGCTTAACAATTAAATAAAATGAGAAAAGAAAAAATAATAATAATAAAAAAAATAGTACAATTGATCTTACATCAACAAAATTACAATAAAATTACAGTAAACATCGTTAAATAAAAAAACCAGCTGAATGAATGAAAGAAATAACTAAAGATATTACATCGAGAGAAGTTGAGTTAAGTATAGTGTAACAATTAATAGGAGAGATATTAAGATGAGATAAATTATTAAATAAAATAGAACGATTACTTTCAAATGCATAGCAGTCAAAAATTATATGAGGAAAATCGCAGAGAACTTCATCGTCATGTTTGGGGCAGAAAAGAGAATTGTTAAGGGACATTTTGTACGCATGAAAAGGAAGGCGATTATGACCAAGTCTTAGTCGAGAAAAGGATAATATATGGAACTGGGAGAGAGGAAGTTTATGGAACCAAGGATGATTTGGAATAGTTGATAAAATTGAAAATGGCATTTAGTGCATTAGTATGAAAAGGGCAGTCTACAGATGTAAATAATACAGTTTTTATTTTTTAAATAGCTGCTATAGAAAAACAAAATATGATTAAATTTTTTTCCCATAGAAGAACACTTTTTTTTTTTCTAATGAAACTTAAATTACGTTGTCTACATATTTAATTCTTATTCAGTGGTTATTTTAAGAATAAAAAATTTTATTTCTCTTTTTTTTAGATTGACTGTTTTAAACCAAATTCGAAATATCATTGAATTATCATTATTTGACGTCTTAGCCAACTCTTTTGATATTTGGTACAAATTTGAATTAATATGAAATAATAGTAGTTTATTGGACAGATGATTAATTGTAAATTAGAGAATATTCAATTAGCAAAAAATATATATTTTTTCTAAACAATTATAAATGAATAAAAAACATGTTACCAATTATTAATTCGTATTTTAATACTTTATGGCATGTAATAGAACTAATAAAAGAAATATTTTTGTGTAACAAATTTCATCCGAATACTTTTTTCAATAATTTTATCTTATCATAAATATTTTGTATGAATCTAAACTATAAAATCTATTTATTCTTTAAATTAAGATAAATAATTATATCTGACAATAATTCTAACAACCAAAATGTTACTATATTGATTTTTTTTTTAGAAAATCTCTATAAATATTTGTTAAAAAAAAAAACCTTAATTTGATATATAATTTTTATCATTTATTTAACCATTTTTATAATGTGAATATAATTCATATAACTCAGATTTAATCGTAATTTTTTCAACTTATTAAAATCAATTTTCAAAAGTATTTCTAAATTATCCAGAAAAAGTATTAAATATACAAAATAAATATATAAATAAATTAAATATATAAGTATACAAATAATAAATAATAAAAATATAATTTGACATATATTTCATACATTTAAATGGATACTTTATAATATTTTATTTGTTGTTTCAGATTTTATTAATGCGTTCAAACAAATGGCTTGACTGTTCCATATTGAATGAAATTTAATAATAGTTTATTAAATTAAGAATAAAACTTTGTACTTAAATAAGAAATAAATTCTTTATAATGAATGTATCCGAGATATTTTTTTTTCTATATCTAAAATTTATTGTAAATAAGAACAAGACAAGAACCATATTCTTGTTTACAATTTTTATAAAATTTTGTTTTTTGACACTAATTCCGAATCTAGCTTCAAATTTTTTTTTTATCACATATAGTTTTTGTGATAATTGGTAATTATCTAATAATTAAACTATAAAATCATCATGAAAAATATAAATTTTCATTTAAATTCCTAAAATGATTTCATGATGTTTAATAATAACTGTACAAATTTCAGACTGCCCTATCAAGTTTAACCGATTTTTTGAATCTTTAAAATTGAGTTTGAGTGTAATTTCTCATAAAAAAAAAATCTATACTTTCGAGTATAACTTTTTTTTGGTTTAACTTATAATAATGAAAATTTAACTGGCAAATAGAAAATTTATAAGAATTCTAAAAATATAAATTTTGTGTATTTTGAGTAAATATAAAGTGAATAAATTGCTGTTAATATAAAAATACAGGAAAATTCTCAACAAAAACTGGGTTAATATACTACTCCAGTAACGTTTTATTTTGAAGTAAATGACGAAATATTATGATTCAATCTTATATCAATTTTAACAATAAATTTAATGTTGTATTTATATTTTACGTATAACAATTGTATGACTAACTATTGTACATTATAGTATAATTATACTGAAATAGAGAGGCGCTAATAGGGACGGTGAAATTCGGCAATGATGGCAGATTATTATTTAATATATCTAAAATTCAAACTATATATCAAATTGTCTAAATCACTTAAGTTCAACGGATTTATTATTTTCACTTCCTCATATAAGTTGTTTATATTTACTAATAATTCTCCATTTTTAATAGTAACACGTTTCCCATAATAACCTTTTCAATTATTTTCTTACGGTCTATCAAATCGCTACTTTTTTATCTACTAAATTTTCATCTACTTTAACCGATATTCTGATCTTGAAGGCAATATGAATAAACCCTACTCACGGGAAAGTATAAGAGTTCTTTTTTTTCTATTTTCAGTATACTTTTTCTTATAGCACATCGCATAAATATGTTCTATTGCGAGCCGTCTTAAAATATTTATATTTCATTTATGCATTCTGCAATTTCAAGAGTAGTGCCCCACTCTTGAACAGATGTTGCACCGCCCCTTAAACGATTATTTTACCGAATTATTAAAATTAAATAAACTATTATTTTTTTTCACCGCGTAATTTTAATATTATTTAATTGTCGTTCCTATATTGTACTAGACAATTTTTCTCTTCAACTATCTAATGTTAAATAGAGAAGTCTATAGACAACTCTATATTACAATATAGTGTTATAGGGTGCTGATTTTTTACCACTTCCTTTATAGATCCCATCTAAAAATACATTTAATACCTGTTCTGTAACCATTTTTTAGCTTCGATGCGAAGCTGAGAAGGTATTAATTTTACTATGATGTGTTTTTTTTTTTTTTTTTTTTTTTTTTTATTTTTTTTTTTGTGTCTGTGAACGCTCAATCTCAGCTCTCGCTGGACCGATTTTGATGAACAATATGTCAAAAGATCACAAATCGTATCTAGTCGAAGACATTACCCTCAAAAATTGAAAAAAATTCCCTCGTTCCCCGTAAACGGGGGAAATCCCCCAAAAAATTACAAATTTAAAAATCGCTAATTTTCGATATTTTTTCAATTTTTTTTACTTAAAATTGCCATAACTTTTTTAAAAATGACCGAATCAATATAATTTTTTTTTTTATAGATACCTTAGATAATTACCTATCATTTTATATATTTTTGTGAACATTTGACCCTTTAACAGCCCAAAGGATGGGGTTTCAAAATGGTAACTTTTTTACAAAAAATTAACTTTTTCAACTTAACTTTTGAAAATGTTCCGGAAAGACTGACAATTTTATATATACCTTAAATTAAAGCTAATGTAATATACTTTAATTTGAAAAAAAAAAATTTGACCTCTGGACTTGTCTTCATGGTGAAAATGACTACCGTATGCAAAAATATGCTATTTTTGTGAAAAAATTCTTGATATTATATTTTACATTTTTTAACATTATGTTGCTATAACTTTTTAAAAAATGCATGAATCAACTTTATTCTTTAATGATAAATACTTTATATATACTTCTTTCATTCGACATACTTTTTTTTAAAATCGGACCATTTCCCTTTATACAGGGGGGGTGCAAACCTTTTAAAATGCGTATAGAAAGTAGAACTTTTTCAACTTAACTTTTGAAAATGTTCCGGAAAGACTGACACTTTTATATATATCTTAAATTAAAGCTTATGTAATATACTTTAATTTAAAAAAAAAAATTTGACCTCTGGATTTGTCTTCATAGTAAAAATGACTACCGTATTCAAAAATTTGCTATTTTTGTGTTAAAATTCTGGGTTTTGTATTTTATTTTATTTTAAAATACCTGACTAGGGGAGTACAGATTTTCATAAATATTATATAAGTTTAAGTTAATATAGTATAGAAAGTTAAACTTATTTAAATTTGTTTGCTTCTTTTTAATCGAGAAAAATAACTTTGAAATTTGAATTAGCTTAAATACCTAATTTTTTCAATTTGTCGGTAGCAAAGTACGATTGCCGAGTTGGTAAAACTTGTGTTTTACACGCTTGGGGTACGCGGTTCCAACCCGCTTATAACAATAAATATTTTGCATTTTTTCTTAATTCTTTTTAAGTTAGTATAAATTTTTAACTCATTTAGATTCAATAACTTCAATAAAGATCAATGATCCCATCACTTTAGTCGCCCCTTGCAAGAAGAAATTTCTTATTCGTATTAAAATTATTTTACTATATTTTAAGTTTTCGCTTCGATGCAAAGCCGAGAAGATATTTTTTTGTGACTATCATTTATTTTCTCTGCTCTAACTTGACCTACTTTTTTCAACAATACGTCAAATTACTACAATTCGTATCTAGTTGAAGATATTACTCTCAAAAATTGAAAAAAAAATTCTAATTTATCAATTAAACAGTTAGTTATTACATCGTCTCCATAAAGACAATTAAAATCATTAATTTCTAATGTTTTCAAAATATTTATTAACGAATGAAGTTTGATATGATAGGTTTCAACTACAAAATTAAATCATTTTACTTTGTAATTTAATAATTTTTTTACTCTATTTGTGTGTGCTACTACTAGACTATAATATTACAATTTTTTTTTGTAACATGTTGCTATATAAATCATTTCTAAAAAAAATGATTGTTTTTTCTCCTGAATTAACAATTGATTTTTACAAATATAATCAAATTTTATAATACACTCAATTGAGTAAATCTTTTTAACAACTTTGTTTTGATTGGTACATTTAGTTAAAGTAAATCATTAAAATTAATTAAGTTCTCAATATTTCAATTATAGAATCTTTTCAACAAACAACAAAAGTTCCTAGGAAATTATTACTATTACTTCTATTTAAGTTATCTATTACCATAAAAATGCAAAAAAATATTGAGCTTTTCTGATAAATTTACAATAAATAGTAATTATAAAACTTTCTGACTGCATATTGATCTTAACGATACAATTTTTTTAATTGTCATAAAATTTTCTATTTAATTATGTCAATGTCAAACTTACCAATTGAGCTAAAAGTTATGGTAAAATAAATTTTTTTTTTTTATTATAAACATTTACAACAATCAACTTTAAACGATTAACAAAATAGGTTAAATATGTCATTTTCCTTATTTTTAACTTATTAATAATCAAATTAATATTAAATATTATATCAAATCAGTATTAATTTAAAACAATTTTTTTTGTTCTTAATTATTTTTTTTTATATGTAAAAACTATTTTTTAATAATATTAAAACTTAGAAGTTATAGAAAAAGTCTAATTGCACATTTTAAAACATCGCGAAAAGTTGATTTAGAATAGTATATTTTTGTTTCTGATGGAAGTTCCTTGTAGTCCAGTGTATAAAACTTATAACTTTGTTAATTGTTATAACTTTATCAAAAATGACCAAATCAGTATATTTTTTTTTATTTAGATGCATGTCTTTATCTATCATTTGGTTTTTTTTATAAATCTAACCCTTTACCTGCCCACAAGAGGGATTCAAAATATTAACTTTTTTTTTTTTAGTTAAAGTAAATCATTAAAATTAATTCAGTTCTGGATATTTCAATAGTAGAATCTTTTTAAATATCAAAAATTACTTAGAAATGATTACTATGATTTCTATTTAAGTGTTCTATTACGATAAAAATGCAAAAAATAATGAGTTTTTCTGATAAATTTACAATAAATAATAATTATAAAACTTTCTGACTGCATATTAATCTTAAAAATAACATTGTTTTAATTCTCATAAAATTTTCTATTTAATGATTCATTCTAGTCAACGAAGGAGTAATTTTGCAGAATAGCAGAAAAAATTCCCAACAAACTTTTTTTTTTTTTGTTTTAATTAGGCAATTGGTGGATTATTCCAAAAGCAACATCAACTCTTATTTCTTTAATTATATCATGATTAGTAGTTCTTTGATTTTAAAATATAATATATGAATATATACTAATTATAATTATTAAATTTAGTATGAAATTGATATTTAATATTGTAATTTAAACGGAGAAATTATAAAAATAATAAAGAAGTTATATTTTGCTTTACTTTTACGTGTATAAAAATTTAAAGGGCTTGATACAATAATTTTCAATAAAAACTGTTTGTTACTATAAAAAAATGCACTGGACTACAAGGAACTTTCATCAGAAGCAAAAATATACTTTTCTAAATCAAATTTTCGCGTTGTTTTCAAATCTGCAAGTAGACTATTTCTATCACTTCTAATTTTTTATATTATTACTAATTATATATATAAAATAATAATTAAAAGAAAAAAAAATTTGTTTTCAAATTATTACTGATTTGATTTTTAATATGTTAAAAATAATCAGTCCAAATTTTCAATTTTAACCTATTTTTTTGGTTCTTTAAAGTTGATGAAAAATTTTTGATAAAGATTTATGAAAGTTTATAGTAAAATAAATTGAATATATTACCATAACTTTTAGCTCAATTACAAGTTTAAAATTGACATCTAGGCCTGTCAACAAAGGAAAAATTGCGGAAAAAATTTTGTTTTTTTAAAAGTTGAATTAAAATATGTATAATGACATACTAATAGTCCTCAAGATTGGAATTGAGCTTTTTTTTTAAATCCTCGCAAAAGTTCAAAAATATGAGCTTTCTTAATTTTCTCAAAAAAAAATATTTAACTTACAAAAAAAAGTTTCGCACAAAAGTTGTTTAAAAGACAATTATAAATAAAAATATAATCTTATATTTTTTCATTTAAACAAATATTTTTCGAGTTACATTACATTTAATATGAGTAATAAAATTTATATTCCATTTTTTTCATTTTACGGTTACTTTTTATCATGTTATACTTACATTAGACACAATGTTATAAATGCATATGTGTGTATGTGTGAGTTTATTTATTTATTGTATCATTAAAGTGTAGTGTATATTGAGATACAACCGATAGAGTAGGTAATTGATTTGACGCTATATTATTTAAACCCAACTAAACGCTAAATTGTACATTCCGAAATAACAATCATATTATGTCAATTGCCACCGGAATATCTGGTAATATTTTTCTTTTTCTTTGCCTTAATCCCAACTACTTGGGGTCGGGCACCCTTATCCTAAGATTCCACTTGACACGATCTCCCACATCTTCTACGCTCACATCAGCTGTCCTCAAATCGCATTCAATAGCATCCCTCCATCTCTTTTTTGGTCTTCCTCTATCTCTTCTTCCTTCAACATTCATTTCTATAACTGTTCTTACAGCTTTCGATTCTTCTTTCCTCATACCATGACTAAACAATCTAAGTCTATTTTCTGTCATCTTATCCACGATTGACGCAACACCTATACTTCCTCTTATATGCTCGTTCCTTATCCTATCTTCTCTAGTCACTCCACTCATCCAACTAAGCATTCTCATCTCTGCTACACTTATTCTCTGCTCTACTTTCTTATCAACCGCCCAACACTATTAACCATACATCATAGCTGGCCTCACAATTTCATACTAAATTTAAAAACTATAATTAGTATTTATTCATATATTATATTTTAAAATCAAAGAACTACTAATCAGGATATAATTAAAGAAATAAGAGTTCATGTTGCTTTTAAAATATTTCACCAATTTCTCTAAAAGAAACACTATCTACAGATTTGCATCGAAGCGTTTCTTATGATAGTGATTTTAATCACTGTCAGATATCCTTTATACTTGTCCCATCTATGCCTCGTCCACACTGTGCCTCGACCCCACTGTGCTACCGTTTTTATATCTAATAATCAAATAAACTTTTTCCTTGCGTACTACGATTAAAAACCTGACATAATAATTATTTTAATTTATTAACATATTCTCTTCCAAGTTATTTATATTGTTGTCTACAACTAAATAATGTAGTTTGCGAATAAGACGCGATTTGAATGTCGTACGATTATTTTAATATATCTTTTAATTCCTTCCAAATAGCTATAATTTCATATTTAATAATATCATATACTTGTTCTTGTAAACTTATTATAATAACATTGAACATCATACCAGTATATTCTCCCCACCTAACTGATGCTACACATCTATGAACCTAAGTACTCATCCTGGACCTCTCCAGTAAAAACAGTGGCTAACTTAACAACATTAACTATTACATTGGTAACCGATATTGTTCCTTCCCTTTGCCCCTAACCTAAATTGGACTGTTCATTTATTTTGGATTTAATATCTTTTGGTTTTGGGGTACCATTATAATATCGTACATTTTTGAATCAAATAGATTAACTAGAAACTTGTCTTCCATAGACTAATAGTAAAAATATTAATAATAAATACTATTAACAATTATGAATAACACCGTAAATGAGTTTTAAAAAAAAACTTATTTTCTAATGACGCATAACAGTAATAAACGCTTAAGCTCATGATGACATTGGGACAATATCTTATTCTGAAATAGATAGGTACAATTGAAAATAATTTAAAATAAGTTTTATTTTTCAAATTTGATATAATAATTATTTGATTTTAAACAATTAAATTATATAAAAGTGTTTATGTTTGTCTGTAAAGGTAGTTAACTAATTCTTGTCATTTAATCTTGTTTTACTAATTTTGAAAAAATGTTAAAGTGATAAGGAATTATGATTATCTATTAAAGCACATTGATAACGCATTGATTAATTGATTGCGACTTGCATTAATACCATAATTAGAATATCATGAAGTAATTATACCTATTTAAGAGTTTTATTTTTATTGCCCTTATTTAGTATTAGGTATGTACAAATTAACTAAACTCGCATATTTTGCATGCTCTGAAAAGCAAAGACAAGAATATAATTATTTTAAGCTACCTCCTATTGATTTAAAACCCTGTTGTACAGTTATATTATCCAATTTTATAAAGAAAAATGATGATTTAAGTAATAGTAATTCAGATGGTAGACAATTGCTTATATCAACTACATGGAAAGCTGCTGAAAATGGACATTTGAAATGTTTAATGCTAGCACATAATGAAGGATATCCATGGGATGAAGCTACAACAGAGTCAGCTGCTAGAAATGGTCACTTAGATTGTTTAAAATTTGCTCATGAAAATGGATGTCCATGGGATAAATATATAACTGAGACAGCTGCTGGAAGTGGCTTTCTTAACTGCCTGAGATATGCCCATGAGAATGGATGTCCATGGGATGATTCAACAACATATTATGCTGCTGGATATGGTAAACTAGATTGTTTAATATATGCAATTGAAAATGGATGTCTATGGCATCCATGTACTACTTATTTTGTAGCGCAAAATGGACATTTAAACTGTTTAATATATGCTCATGAAAATAACTGTCCTTGGGGTCAACATACAACTGAAACTGCAGCTGCTGAAGGAAATTTAGACTGCCTAAAATATGCCCATGAAAATGGGTGTCCTTGGGATTTACATACCACTGCAGCAGCTGCTGAAAATGGACATTTAGATTGTTTAATCTATGCTCATGAAAATGGATGCCCATGGGATGAATCAACTACATATTCAGCTGCAGCATTTGGACATGAAGATTGTTTAGAATATGCACGGAAAAATTATTGTCCAGAATCAAACTTAGACTGATTAGTTTTTAATTTATTTTACTACATTAATTTTTAATTTCATTAATTGTATTAAGTTTATCATTATGTGTATTAATCTTATCCTAACAATTTTAAAATGTATTAGTTACTATCTAGTCACCAAAAATAATACTATGTTAACTGTACCTTCTGTATATATTTACATATGTTTTAATCATCTCAATACACTTAAAATATATTTTCTTACATTTAAAAATGCAATTCTATGTTGTAATATTAATGATTCAACAAATTTGTAATTATTTTACTTTTGTACTTTTCTTTTAAATTTCTAAAAATCTATTATTGTAAATAAGATAATATTATTTCAATATATATATATATATTTTTTATTTACTAGATTAATTAAGATTTGTTATTATAATTAGTAAACATTATATTACATCTCAAGTACTTTTTTTTTTTAACAGCCTATTGTACATATACTTTTATAATTTTATAATAATTGTTTAGTACGTTAAATTAACAAAATATCTAATATAAATTAATTTTTATTTATGTGTATAATCAGTATGATATAATGATATAATTAAAGATAAGATTCTATTTATTCTATGTTAAAAGTGTTATTAGATTGGTTCTCATTCTATTGACATTATAGCATTCAACATAAAATTAACAGATGTTATCACTATCACAGTAGTTTTATCAATGACTGCGAAATTTTACAAAAAGTTGTTTTTTCTACCGGATTTGACTTCTATTATTACTATGCTTGGTGCCTCAGTTGCGAATTAAACCTTAGTAAGTAACAGGAGTAACTTTATTATGATTAGTTATGCTTTTATATTAAAAGCTATTAAGTACAGAAAAAATTGAAGGTCTTTTTTAATGCTTTTGTTTTGACTGATAAATAATCATGTCCTCTAATCAATACATAATTTTTTAAAGCATTTTTGAAACTGAAATGCCACTAAAATGACGGACACTATTTCGGGTAAGTTATGATAACAATATGTTATACATTATGTTTACCAAGTTTTTGGTTTAGGTGATACACGACTTAGACAGTTAGAGTCGTTGTTCTTAGGTGGTCCTATACAAGGACAAGGTCAATGCTTCAGTATAGAAACTTTGCTGGATATACTACTCGTGCTTTACGATGAATGTAATAATTCTTCATTACGACGAGAAAAGACTGTTTTGGGTTTTATTGAATTCGGTAATTTTATAATAATAGTATATTCAGGTTTAAATTGGCAAAATATAAATGTAAATTTAGCAGTTAAATTTTTATTGGTTTGTTTTAATTAACTTTATATTAATTTTTAAGTAAGTATGTTCTTTATTTTCTAATTTTAAATGTATCCTAATTTATTATACACAGTAATTTTTTTTATGTTTACCAACCCTATGGTTAGTTTTTTAGTTTCTATATTCATCACTATTACTTTTTAGCATATTCAATTCAAAGTTTATAAGACCTGCATGGATATCTTTTTAATGTATTTCCCTAGTTTCATTTATTTCTTGTAGTATGATATTTGGTTAATATTTCTTTCTGTCTAGCTCACTCACAACATTCTTCTCCATCACCACATCTCTTAACTTTTCTAGAATCTTTTGTTTCGTTTTATTCAGTATCCATAATTTGCATCTATCTAGTGCCACACTTCAAACATATACTTTTATTAGCCAATTCTCATACCCATATTAATATTTTTAGAACACAGTAGGTTTCTTTTATTGAGGAATGCTGTTTTTGCTTTGATGAAAACAGATTTCAATCTTAGTCAAATTGAAGTTTTAATAATTTACCTTAATATGTATAAAATTATAGTCAAACCAGTTGCATCTTGTGTGAAATCTCTTAGATTGACTAGAGATGATTTTGAGACAATAAAAGTAATAGGCCGAGGAGCATTTGGAGAAGTATGTGTTGTACACATGAAAGGAACTGAAAAAGTTTATGCCATGAAAATTCTTAATAAATGGGAAATGCTTAAAAGAGCTGAAACTGCTTGCTTTCAAGTAAATATAACTTAAATTTAATAAATCTAAATATAATTATTTAAGTGAAATTTTATACTTCAATGCGTAATTAATATGATACAATCCTGTTATAGTCCACCGCAAAAATCAAACTTAAAGTAATGAAATAAAGAAAAAAATATATAAAAATTATTTTTATGGTGGCCTATATTACTTAATCTTTTATTTGTATGACTTAAAAATGAAATCATAGTTTTAGTTTTTAATTAACACATTTATTTTAATATTTAACTATTTAAAATGTTTTGCGTGATTACAAATTAAAAAATATAAGTTTAAAGTTTCCATATACCTTAAATTTACAAATTTCATAAAGTCTTTTAGTTTTTAAATGACTCTTATCATAAATAAATAAATTAAATTAATTATTATAAATACTTCTTTTGGTTTTTTGTAAAACTAATAAGGTATTAATTTCACTATTATATTGCACTGTGAATAAGACAATAACTCACTTTTTTCAATTTTCTCAAAGAAACTATTAAAAGGTTAACATTGATATTGTAGTTTTGTAATTGAACCAATTATTTTGAAAAATTCACAACATATTAACCATAATTACTTAAAAATATATTTTAGTTTTCCAGTTTGTTTTTTTATATGTGTGTTATGTTAAAAAATTTAAAAAATAGTATCCTAAGTCATGATTATTTGGACAAAACAAAAATTCAGAAGTTGTAACTCAAAGCACTGTACTTTTTTTTTTTGTCTACCATAAGTACTCGGATTTTTCTTCCTTTGCCCCTTATATGTTCATATAAACAACCATAAATAACAAAATGTGACAAATTTTTAGCAGTATCACAAGTGAACAAATTTGTTAATATATCAATTTTTTCATATACAAACTTATTGCTCTTAGACAGTTACATCTCTCCATGATTATAATTTTTAAAATTTAATTAACTATTTAGAAGTTATAGACTTTTAGTATGATAAAATATGATTTTAGGAAGAAAGAGATGTTTTAGTTTATGGTGATAGAAGATGGATTACTAATCTGCATTATGCTTTTCAAGATACAACCAATTTAGTAAGAATCAATTGTATTTTTTAAATGCTCCTTATTAGGTTATTAATTTTTATAAATCATTTGAAATGACTTAAGTTTTGAAGCACTAATATAACAAATTATAATGAAAATAAAATTAATTCTATGTCTGACAAATTAAAAAAAAGGTTGTAATTATATTTACATAGAAGAAACCTTTGGGGTATGAAAAAGATTACTGAAATTAGAGTATGATTGATTAAGTTGATCAAATGTTAGTTAATTTAGTTAATCTAGTTAATCTAATATAGAATTTTCTGTGTGCTATTATAGCTTTAGTTAGGATTTTCATTAGTTTTTACTATTTTTTTAGTCAATTTATTGTCTATTGTCTACACTGGCAAAATTAAAAATTAAGTTGTATCAACCTATAATATAGTAACTTCATTATATTGGTAAATAGCCGTATATAACAAAAATAGTTTTAGGGACTTAATAAATTAAATTTATTAATTTAATTCCACATTAAAATATCGAATATGTCAAGATATAACTTTTTATTTATCTTTTATAAAATTTCAATTGAAAAAATAATTAATATCGGATAACTCTACATCTATAGCTGATCATCATAAAATCATCTTACAATCTTAGTAGTATGAAACCTAATAATATTCATTATACTGTAAATTCTTTTAATTGTAAAATTGATGTTTTTTATTTTGTAATCTTATCATTTTTAGTATCTTGTTATGGACTATTACTGTGGTGGTGATTTGTTAACATTGCTTAGCAAATTTTTTGACCGCCTTCCAGAAGACATGGCTAGATTCTACATTGCTGAAATGATACTTGCCATTAACTCAATACATGATTTAAATTATGTACATAGGTATATATTTACCACTTTTTATTTCATATAATAGTTAAATAGTAATTTCTCATTTTTTTTTTTACAGAGATATTAAGCCTGATAATGTTTTATTAGATGCTAATGGTCATATCCGATTAGCAGATTTTGGATCATGTTTAAAAGTAGGTGCCAACGGTTATGTAGAAAGCAATGTAGCTGTAGGAACACCAGATTATATTTCTCCTGAAATACTACAAGCCATTGAAGATGGCCGAGGTTGTTATGGACGTGAATGTGATTGGTGGTCTTTGGGTGTATGTATGTATGAAATGATATACGGTGAAACACCATTCTATGCTGAATCTCTAGTGCATACTTACGCAAAGATTATGAATCATAAGGTAAATATAGAATAATAAAAATTGTATACATATTTTTAAATTCTCTAATTTAGCTTTTTATAGTGCTTTATTATCTTTTAAAAAATTTGCAATAATATATATTAAAAATAATGAAACATTCATTTTTCATAGTTATAAAATGTATGCAGAATAGTTGATTTATCATAATTGATTATTTACAAAATAAATACAATATTGTAAAAATAATTTTTAATTTCATTTAGTTACATATAATTCTTGATTTATCAACTAATAATAAGTACTTTTTAGAATCATCCCTTATAATTTAAAGGAGTATCAATTTTATTTTTTTTAAATGGTATTGTACATATTTAATTAACTTATATAACAGAAAATTATCTAATTAAGAAAATGACTGGTCTATATTAATTTTTAGACCAATATTTCAGAAGTTATTAACAATTAAAATATACTACTTTACCATTTTTTCATAAAAATTAGAATATAAAATTATTAAATATTAATTTCATACTACTTTGAATTGCTTTATTAGATATTTATTCATATATTATACATATAAATCATAGAATAGAACTGCCAATTAGGAATAATGAAGGACATAGGAGTTAATTTTGCTTTTGAATAATCTATTAATTTTTTAAAATTAAACACTTGCATTGAAGCGTTTCTAGTACCCACTTTTCGTACCAAGAACTTATATACATTCTACGCGCCATTCCATTGTACTAAATATGCTAAAAATTCCTCCATTCCTAGGTTAATGTGCCATGTAAACAAATTTAACGTCAATTTGTTTATTTGTAACAATATATTCGCTTTTAATGAATATCTTAAAAACAAAGTAATTATTAGTTAATAATTATTGTATGTATTGTAATTTTATTCTGTTCTACCAATTTATATTTTACTTTATTGTATTGTAATGTATATTATTGTAATTTAAGTCAGACAGCACATGTAAACTTTACTCTGCAAACTGTAACCTTTTAAAAAATAAAGTTGACATTCCCATAAGCTATAAAATAAAATAAAAAGATCCTAAAAAATAATTAGTAGCTGATAAATCAAGAATTATATGTAACTAAAAAAAAATCAAAAATTATTTTTACAATATTATATTTATTTTGCAAGTAATTGAGTGGTTTATGATAAACGTATGGCCATTTATAATGAAGTAGTATGATTAAATATTTATACTTTTAGAATTGTTTTGATTTTCCGAATGATCCAGATTTACAAGTTTCTGAAGCTGCAAAAGACTTGATGAAGAAACTTATCTGTAATGCTGAAGAAAGATTAGGTCAAACTGGCATTAAAGATTTTAAAGTAACTTGTATACTTCAATTTTATTTTAGCATTTACTTTATTTATTAAATTTATTTTCTAGGAACATGATTGGTTTAAAGGAATAGATTGGGATACAATTAGGGATAGTGTGGCACCTTATATTCCAGAAGTTTCTAGCCCAACTGATACTAGTCATTTTGATGTTGAAGAAATTGATGTAAAAACTGATATTTTTCCTCCAACTCCATCTAATCCTATATTTTCTGCCCTTCATCTTCCATTTGTTGGATTTACATTTACTCAAAACAGTTGTGTATCAGACTTGGGGTCAATTGGTAAGACAACACCTCAGATAGCGGTTGGTTACAAAAAAAACAAATTACAAAACACTACCAACGATATAAATAACCAAAGTGAGAAATAGTATAAGATTATTGAATATTACAGGATTTTCTTAAAATAAAAAACAAAATCGAACACAATTCAAAAACATTTTTACACATTATTAATCTACAATAAAATACTTACTAATATAATAACATTAAAAAAGCTAGATTTATAATAAAAAATGTAATTTAGTACTCTTATTTAAATGATTAAAAATAATGTTGAAAATTATAAAACAAGTTCTATTTAAAATTAACTCTAATGAGTCAAAATATTGTAGTTTATTTTGAAACCAAGCAATTTTCTATTAAAATAGGTTTTGAAAATCAAATTTATCAAGAGAAACCTAGTTCGGAATTGGATTTGATAGTCAGAAAATTACAACAAGAAAAGCAGGAAGTTGAAAAGGTAAGTTCTCATTTGTAATTATGAAAGTACATCTAAAAGTAACAATTTGAAATTATAGTTTTAATTAATTTATTTGTTATTGATTAAAGTTTAAATAACAATGAAAATACCTGTTATTTTTTTTAAATATACATATTTGAAGGTATAATTTATTTTTGTGTATATCAAATGTTTTTAATATATTTTATTTTATTTTATATTTAGGAAAAACAGGAAATACAGGAAAAATTAAAAGCTCAAGAAGTTGAATTGTTAGATGCTGTAAGCCAAAAAAATAATGCAATGACTGAATATGGTCATGTTACAAATAAGTAATTTTATTTTTTTAAATAATATGAATAGAAATTAAAAAAAAAAAAAATTATAGGTTATCTGAACTTAGACAACACAAACAAAAACTATCTAGGTTAGTAAGAGATAAAGAAGAAGAGTTAGAAGAAGCTATGTCTAAAGTAGATGTTTTACGTCAAGAAGTACGCCGATCTGAAAAAGTCAGAAGAGAACTAGAGAGTAGATTAGATGAATCTATGGCAGAGATCGTTAATGAACGTAAACTGAGAGAAGAACAAAATAATCGGGTAAGGATAAAATACAGTACCAACTAAAATTGAAGTATTTAAATTGGATCACTCTATAAATAACAAAATGTTGCAGTATAAAACTGATAGTTCTACTGATGATATCAAATCTAATCAATTACCTTATGCCAATTCAGAAAATTTCAATCAAAAAGCTTTACAGGAAATAAACCGGTGTGTTAAATTATTTTCATGTTTACCTATTATTATTTCAAAATATTTTATATATTTTATTATTGTTTTTAATTTTCTACAGGTTAAATTTTAATAAAAAATAGAATGTAGACTCTTTCCTACACACATAGTGTAAGTGATATTTTTATAAAAATCAAGTTGTGTTAAGATAGAAAGTTTTTTTTATTAAGATTTATAATTTGAATGAAAATTATAGAAATATATATATATTTTATTTAAAAATTAATTAAAAACAAAAATTGTAAATATGAAATTTTTATTATGGAGTTATGAAAATATCACTTATGTTGTATATATTTATTTATATTTTGTAACTGACAGTTTTGCATGCATCTAAAATAGTAAATTTCATCTTTTCTTTTAGTATTGAATAAAATTAATTGATTATGTTATTAGTTTAAAGAATGAAATTGAAAGATTAGAACTTCAATACAATGAAAATATTAATAAAGAACAAGCAAAATACAATATGGAAACAAGTAAATTAAAAGATAGACTTTTTGAGAATGAAGCTAAACTGGAAAAAGAGGTTTTATATAATTTATTTTATATAGTTTCTATTATAATAAATAATTTTTTGAATATGTATTTTAGAAAAAAGAAACATTTGAAATTGTCCAAAGTGTTGAGTTTGAACATCAAAAATTAAGAGATGAACTGCGTGTCAAACAACAAACTATTAACCAGTTAGAATCACAAATAGCTGATATCATACAATGGTAATAAATTTAATAAATTTGATAAATATATGAAGAAAAGAAATCAATTCTTATTTATAGGATAAGTGATGAGAAAGATGCTCGCGGTTATTTACAAGTGCTAGCAGCCAAAATGAAAGAGGAGTTAGAATATTTAAAACAATATCCTCCATCTAGTAATAACAGTCAAGCAACCATGGTAAGATTTATCGTGTTATATAATTATTTAAAAATCTTGGGTTTAGATTATACTTATTTACTATTTTTATGATATGTAGGATAATAGTTGGAGAAATAGAAGAAGTCAAAAACTTGACAAAATGGAGTTATTAAACCTTCAGAGCTCTTTACAGTCAGAGATACAAGCCAAACAGTCCATCAATGATGAACTTAGTAAAACCCGATCTGAATTGATTTCCACACAAAAGTATGTGTTACATACTCTCTATACTACTAAGTGCTCTAACACCTATTCCCCTGAGAATGACTTACACTTATCTTTCCTTTTGAAGTGGTGATTGTCATTTTATTCACCAAACATATTTTGAAACACATTTATCAAAACCTTGCAGTTATCTCATTATAATAAATCATATGGCTGTAACAAAAAATAATAAATGTAATACAAATTTTGTATGTCTAATTGAAAATCATCACTTAAATTACAAAATTTAATTAAAAATTATTCATAAAATTATCCAAAAAATTAAACTATAAAAAATTGAAATTTTTTACTTATAGAGAATTGAGAGAATTCCATAGAAGATATGAATCATTAGCTTATAATATAAAAGACAAAGAAGATACAATTAAAGAATTACAAAATCAATTGGATGCTAAGCAGTCATGTAAGTATTAAAAATGAAAGGTTCTGTTAAATAGCATATATGAGTCTTTTGGTTGACACATAGCTTTAATTAATACTGTAAACTGTAAGTTTAATTAAAATTCGTTTTTATAAATAAATTATTGGTCTAAAAAAATATTGGTTTTTGTAAAAATAAAACTATATTAATTTATTCTTATGAAAAAAAAATGGGATTATTATAAGCTGTTTAATCTGGTTAGTTTCATTGTAAAAAATTTTAATTAATATAAACTTTCAATTTAAATTAAATAAAATTCAAACTTCTTTTTTTTTTTTTTTTTAATGTTAGTAATTTTAGAGTAAAATTTAAATTCTTTTATTTTTTCCTGATATACTCATGGTGGCTAAGCAGTATAATAATATATTATGTTAATAGGCACTACGAGCTATATGTGGGGGCTAGTCGCTGCTGCCGCCGCCATTGTTGTACTTTTGTACTATTTTTGACTAGAACAACATCATCACCATAAAATAGGTTGGTTTAGTGTGGAAATGTGCTTTTGGTTTTTTTTTTAATTATTAACCCAGAATAACCATCTTTAACTCATAATGTAACAATAAGAGAGGTAATCTTATACCACATTGGGATAAACTAGGAATATTTAAGCACCTTAAAATCTACTATTATTTCTGTTTGGAATGTTTTTTAACAACCACTCATTTTTTATCATTCTGTGTAAATGACACAGGTAAAAAAGATACTTTGTTATTTGTTGACCAATTGTTGTGAAGTTTACATACATTTATGTTTTCAAATAGGTTTTGAATTATTCTTTTTAATAATAATAATAAATAAAAATGTGTTTTGTGCAATTTACTACCATAATGAATTTAAAATGTATTTAACTATAAGTATTACAAAACAAGGTAATATTGTTAAAATTTGTAGTTTTGTTGTGTCATTACTCTAACAATATTATTTAATGTTAAAAATATTTAAACACTCTTATATATATGCATACAATGTTTTCACAGTTTTAAGTCAATCATCTTGTCAATCACCTTTATCTTACTTTGATCAATTTTTAAATGAGTCTACTGAAAGTAACAGTAAATTAGATGCAATTGATAGTGGTTACCAGCAAAGAAGCTTTGATGAAAATCGAGCAATGTCTGCAATGAGCAAATCAAATTATTCAGACTTTAGTACAGTATGTTGTTAAATTCAAACAAGACAACATTGTAACTTCACACAAAATTGTAATTCATTTTTTTTTTTTTTTTTTTTTTTTTTT